GGTGGAGAGGCAAGGGACTGCATCAGATTTTTCCATTTTCAGAATTTTGCTCTGGTTGCAGGTTTGTGCCAGGAGTGAAGGCTGCCGGGAGGAGCAGCCTGAGGAGGGGGGTGGAGCTGAGTGACTCACTAGATGACTCGAGGAGCCAGTTATAAGCATTGAAGGAGGCCAAAGTTTCTTCCCACCCCCACTCCCTCAGCCAGCCTCCGTTGCTCTTTTCTACTGCCCCTTACCCACTTGCCAGTGAGGAGAGGTGGCACCCACAGAGTCTACTTGGAGACAAGAGAATAGTTTGTTGATCAGATTGAGCACACAGGGGCAAAATACCCTATGATTTTCAGACTGGGTATCTGCAAAGCAAACAAGACAGAGTGCTTGTATGACTCACTGACTCTGCAGTTGGAAGGGGGAAAAAATTAGAAAAATCTAGGGAGCAGGTGATTTCAGGCCAGGCTGTGTGGCTAGGGCACTGCCTCCTTGGAGAAAGAAGAGGACAGATTACAGATCACAGAGGTGTCTGAGGGACTCATACATCTCTGAAATGCTCTTTATTAAGGGAAAAAAAAAAAAGGTTACTGTAACCTTGAACACATGGTTAAAAGGATAAGAGTAGCAAGAGCTAGCTTCTTAGAAGTCCCAGAAAACCTGTTCCTTTCTTTCGGGCACCATATAGTCTAAATATAATACAGGAAGTCATTGTTAATTTTAATTTCACTAGTCTGTGGGTGTGTTTTAAGAAACAGCCTACAGGAAAGGGAAGGACTTCCATTTTAAAGCCCTCCATAATGCTGATTTTTAACACCATTTCATAGTCCTTAAAGAGACTGAATCTTTCATTGGTTATGAGTATGAACTGAGAGCCATGTATTTGACAGGCAGGTGCTGCTCTATCACTTACTTGAGCCGTGCCTTCAGCTCTTTTAATCTATATAGTGCTGGTTCTGGGGCTTGAACTCAGGCCTGGGTGCTGTCCCTGTGCTTTTGTGCTTAGGCTAGGGCTCTACCAATTGAGCCACAGCTCTACTTCTGGCATTTTTGGTATTTAATTGGAGATAAGAGTCTCGTGGACTTCCTGTCTGGGGCTGGCTTTGAACCACAATTCTCAGATCTCAGCCTCCTGACTAGCTAGGATCACAGGTGTGAGCCACCCATGCTTGGAAATACATTTTAGCGATAAATGCCAGTATGTAAGTGGGAGCCAGTGGCTCACATCTAGTCTAGTTACTTAGGGGGCTAAGATCTGGGTTCAAAGCCAACTCTTAACCTTCAGTTAACTGGCAAAAAGCCAGAACTAGAGTCAAGTAGTAGAGCACCAACCTTGAGTGGCAGCCCAGCTCAGTGGGAGTATGCGGTCCTGAGTTCAAACTCCAGTACTGGCACCAAGAAAAGAAAATCAGTGTGAGGGAAAAGATTTTAGTTGATTCTTGTAACTTTCCATAAAACCAGCCTGGGTTAGTTAAGGGAGTGATTTTCAGTAGATAGCTCCATTTGGAAGGCAATACTGACTTAAAAGAAAAAAAATCAGTAGGTACCCCAGATGCCCTGGGTTAAAGAAACCAAGGACACTTAAATTTTAAGCCTGAAAGATGTCAAACCTCACCTAGGGTACAGGGGTCTTATCTTCCCCCTTCATTCACATACCCTTTCTATACCAAAGAATTTTTGCTCATTTCAGTGCAACCTGTTTAAGTCTCCCCATTCCTTCCTCTCTAACACAGTAATTGCATGGGCTTTCCTATTCACCCTCTCACCTTCCCCAAATACCACAAACCAATCCTAGTCTGTCTTCATTTCCTAGGCATTACATTCTTAACACCCATGCCACCCAAACCCTAACATACAGCAAAATGAACTTTACTATCCCATTTATAAAAATCCTGTGTGTGTGTGTGTGTGTGTGTGCGCGTGTACGCGCATGTGCTTGTGATCTCTGGGTTCCTTGTCCATAGACTTAAGAGGCTTCTCAGTGCCTTACTAACCTTCTCAAGTAAAAAGGAATCCTTAATAAAAACTATACCAAATTTACTCCTAGAAACCTTCCCCAGAATTTCCATCTTTTTCTCTTTGAAAAGAGCAAAGGGAATTGGGATTGGCTAATTTAGAAATAAAAACAAGCAGGACAGGATAACATGTTTTTTTGATTTTGTTCATTTGTTGTCTTAAAAACACATATTAACTAGAATCTATTAACAGATCAAATCCAAACACGGCAGTCCAGTGGAGAATCAAATTTCTGGGTTTTATTCTCTGGGAAAATCCAATGTTTCCATTCCTATTGGTCCTGGCCAGCATCCTATGATATGGAGGCCTACAGGAGAAAGAGGCAAGCTGTGCAAACTCAGGGTATGGGTTTGACTCACAGGGTGTCCAGTGTGGGGTAGGCAATGGAGGCTCACGGGTGGCTCATCAGTGTTGTTCTAACTCCAGAAACAAGGACATGACTTGGGTGAGGTGAACAATGCTCTCACCTGGTCACAAAATTGGAGTACTTAAAAACCCAGGAACCAAGACAAATACTATTTTGATACAGTATTTTTTTAAGCAAAAGTTAATGCTAAAAAACCTCATGCTGAACAACATACCAATTTTTTCATTTTGGCAGTATTGGGGCTTGAATTTGGAGCCTCGTGCTGTAAAGGCAGATGCTCTTCCACTTGGAGCCATGTCTCCAGCCCAAAGTTTTGTCTTTTTAAAAAAAAATTATCTTTAAGTTGTACAATTTAACAATTTGTCAATTTAACATGTCCAATCCCAGATTTTAAATAAAGACAAGATCCATCCCCATACTTGCCCCATCCAGCCTCATTTCCCTCATCTGAAGCCTGGTCCTGTCAGATCCTAAGATTTTGATATTTTGTTCAACATAGGCTTTTGGTATTAATTTTTAAAATAATGAATTAAAAATGATCCATTACTGAGTAGACTTTTGTCTTTTCTTTTTTTTTTGGTACTGAGGATCGAACCCAGGACGTTGCACTTGCTAGGCAAGCGCTTTGCCACTGAGCTACATCCCAGCCCCTGAGTAGACTTTTAAATTGTATACCCACGTGCTTTTCATACTAGGTTCCTGCCCTATCCTGAAATATATAAGCCTCCTCCTTGGAACCTCATGGCTTCTTTAAAATAAAAGCCTAGGAATACCCATGGAAAATGATCAAATCAACAGACCAACAAGTTTGGAAAATAAATGGCTTTTGAGTTCACTGAAGAGAAAGAAACCTTTCTAAACAGAATTGTTCCAATGAGGAGGAAGTCTTGACTTGCTTTGTGATTTCGGGAAATAGGATGAAAACTTTCTGTATGGGGCTGAAGGAGTGTATGCAAACAAGAGTCTGCAAACAGACACACACACACACACACACATACACACACAGACACACACACACACACACACACACACACACGCCTTAGATCAGATAGGGGCATTGATTACATTCTACTAGACAGGTGCTAGTGCATACCTCAACAGCAAAACCCTAATATACAACAAACAGCCCCAATTAACATTCTGGATACTTCAGTACACTTACTCCCCTTCTTCATATGTACCCAAGAGTGTCTACAATTGCATAGATGATATTTTTCCCCAGAAAAAATATAAACAAGAAAATTGGCCCAGTATTAGTCCTCTGGCTTAAAGCTCTTAGTAACGGCTCTGGCCAGAGTATAGGCTGTCCAGATTTGTGCTTTGTGCAAAATGCAAAAGAGTTCCTCCCGTCTGTGTCTGTATCCCCACTCCAACTCCCTGGAGAAAAGGCTGGGGTCAGGGAAAGGGAGAAATCCAAAGACAGATGAACTCACTGGGACTAATCTGTGATCTGTGGTTATAGTTCACTAAAATAGATTTCTCTACTTACCTTTATAAATTGCCCCTAGCCCCCTTCCCCATGTTTCAACATCATTCCTAATATCAAAAATATCACTTCTTACAAAGTATTTTATTATTATTTTAATAAACTAACCACAGATTAAGGTCAGTTTTGGCTTAACAAAAGAAGCCAGGATGTTAAGTCCATTCTCCATAAGTAGAGAGGAAGGAGAAAGAATCTCTTAAATAGGAAAAAAAATAGCAATTAATTTTTTAAATGTATTTTTGTTGGGGTCCTTTAGTTTCTTTTACTTAAAAAATTAGTCAATAAAATAAGTTGCTTTCTACAGAAAACAGCAGCAGAGGATGGTAGTGCTTGGTAGGTTTTTGGTTTTTGTTTGAAACAGTCAGGCCAAATGTCTGCCCTTCCCTAAGTGCACTCAGACCCCATGTGGTTATTGCTAAGTAGTTAAAAAATAGATCACTAGGCACCCATTCACCTGAAGAAAATTCAACACACACAGCTGCTCTTCCTATCACTTCCCTTTCCCAGAGGGAATGTTTTTGTTTGTTTGCTTTTAAATAAAATTAAATCTCTCTCTGTCTCTCTCTTTCTCCTTGCCAGTCCTGGGGCTTGAACTCAAGGCCTGGGCACTGTCCCTGAGCTTCTTTTTGCTCAAGGCTAGCACTCTACCACTTGAGCCGCAGCACCACTTCTGGCGTTTTCTGTTTATATGGTACTGAGGAATCAAACCTAGGGCTTCATGCATGCTAGGCAAGCACTCTACCACTAAGCCACATTCCTAGCCCTTCTCTCTCTTTAAAATTACACCTTCTTAGCTTGAGCGCAGTCCTCAAAAAGGACGTGGAAAAGATAGGGGGCAATCAGCAATCTCCTCTTAAACTAGAATGGATAACAAATGACTATTTAGAAGAAAAGAAAACTTAAAAGGAAAAAAAAATCCCCTTTTAAGTTCCTCTATTTCCTTTCTCCATAAATAGGGATTTAAAGACTATCTTCTTCCTAACAAGTACCCAAGAGCACAGATTATTGCTTTGTCTTTACAGATGCTTCAGGAGGAAAAAAAATGTATCCAACCTTAATATCTACCTTAATTCCAATCAAGAGCAAATTGTGTCCAATGTCTCAGTTTCCCTCCACACTTCCAACTCCACTACCCTGGGCTTTTTCCCAACCTAAAAGAACTTTGGTCTGCTTATAATTTTTTTCTCTTTAA